AATAGAAACGTTTTATCTTTATTTCTGTCTACACAAGATAAAAATAAATGTTGGCATCACCCTTTGACAGTGGAATTTCCCTTTAGGTTGGTGTCTAAAAGGGTATGACTTTAAACATGTGATGGGTTAGAAGTTTGTATTTAATGGATAATGTAATGAATCTACCTGTCTTTCAAGCCTTTTTGTTTCAAATCTCAAATCACTTCTCTATCTGTTAACTGTCTCAGGGGTAAAGGTGACAGCCCGGAGGCCCGTGCATTGGCAAAGCAGATTGGGGCAGCCCTGTTGACCCTGCAGTCTAAAACCAACCGGGCCGTGGCCAACATGAGACCAGCCAAACCCGCCGTCACCTTGGAGGGCAAGATGGAGCAGGCCCTCCGCTGGGTGAACAACCCCGGAGTGGACGACAGAGGAGTAGGTGAGCGGGGGTTGGATGACGGCTCCAGGGAGGGATGATGTAGTAGTTCTGTTCAAAAATAAATCCTCTGACCTTCCGTGCCATTTGTCAGCCCCACTGTATGTGGGTGATGGAGAGTGTGTGAAAGTGGTCAAGGCATACATAGGACTCTTTTCGCGATTATCTGACAGATCTTAAAAGGTGTGAAGTGTTTGTGGTCCGTTCAGGAGACTGCAAAAGTTGCTCATTTTATAACATTTCCGAATGTGGTACAGAAATGACTGTGCTGGTGACTGATGCCATTTCCACAGTAAGGTATCTCATGCATGAATCACTGAATGACTAACTTGGCTTACTTCATCAGTCAGAGCAATATATTGTTTTGAATGGTTTGTTTGATGCCTGTTGCTCTTTTCCTGTGTTGTCATTTCATTGTTTCCTATTTTCTCGCATGCTTCCCCTTTGGGAGCAGAGTGTGAGATACTACAGTGGAACACAGGTACCTGCCCATGCATTCTTAGAAGATATAACCAAACTATTGAATTACATAGTGACTTCCTAGAAACTGTGTGAGGTCAGCACGTACAACAAAATACAGCATCCCCATCTCTAATTTACAAGAAAATATATATGAAGTCATTTGTCACCCTTTGTATTCCACTTATTAAGCAGTTTAGAGATGTTTCATGTCCAAGTAAAAACATGTAACAATAATAGGTTCTTATTTAGACAAGAGCAAGACAAAGGAGATATTGATGTGATGTGAGAATGACCCTGTGTCTCTCCCTAGGTCAGGCAGCAATCAGAGGAATGGTTGGAGAAGGGAAGAGGCTGGCAGGAGGTCTGTTAGGCCCGTATCGACAGGATATGCTTGGACGCTGCGACCGAACAGAGGCTCTAATGACAGCTTTGGCAGACATTGCTGCCAGGGGTGAGGCAGAAGCCCCTCATGCACGAGCTACAGCCGCACAACTGCAGGACAGCCTCAAGGTAGCTCAACAGTCTCACAAACACACTCATTTACATTTACAACATTGTTTAAAATTGAGTTTATTTTAAATTAGATCACAAAGGGTCCAAATATACCAAATATGCCAAAAAACCTGGGTTTGTATTATAGCATTGGTGCAGAGCTCCACCTAGTGGACTGACACGACACTCTCTGTTTCTACCAGGACCTCAGAAAGCACATGCAGGAGGTGATGACTCAGGAAGTGTCTGATGTTTTCAGTGACACCACCACCCCTATCAAACTGCTGGCTGTGGCTGCAACTGCTCCCCCCGATGCCCCCAACAGGGAGGAAGTCAGTGACATACAAAAATCTTTGCTGGTTACAAATATATGCTCCCAGTGATCCATCCCATGTAGCTATTTCTACTGATTCCATCTAGATGATGTGTGTGTGTGAATAATGGGAATGTTTTTTGTAGGTGTTTGATGAACGTGCAGGAAACTTCGAGGCCCACTCAGGTCGGCTGGGGGCGACCGCAGAGAAGGCTGCTGCGGTGGGAACAGCCAATAAGAGCACAGTAGAGGGCATACATGCTGCTGTGAAACACTCCAGGGAGCTCACACCACAGGTGCCAGTGTTTGTTTTGCCGTCCCTGATTTACATGATTGCATACATGGGTGAAACATGTAGCTGTCAGAGAATTTTATACACAACCTGAATGTGACTTGCTTGTTAATGTCCAGGTGACCTCTGCTGCTCGGATCTTGTTGAAGAATCCTGGAAATAAAGCAGCCTACGAGCACTTTGACACCATGAAAAACCAGTGGATTGACAATGTGGAGAAACTCACTAGTGAGGTTTTTCTCAACATTTCTAGTGTTAAGTGTTAAATGACAGAGAATTTTTACATTTTAAAGTAGTTGCAGGGTTACAGCAGCCTGTGACAAATAGATCTCCTGAACTACATTTACATACTGTAGCTGAGATATGTGTGTGTATGTGTGTCTGTCAGGTCTAGTGGATGAGGCCATCGACACAAAATCTCTGTTAGATGCTTCTGAGGAGGCTATAAAGAAAGACATCGACAAGTGCCGAGTTGCCATGGCGAATGTTCAGCCCCAAATGCTTGTTGCCGGGGCAACAAGCATAGCAAGACGGGCTAATCGGGTCCTTTTAGTGGCTAAGAGGGAAGTGGAAAACTCTGAAGATCCGCGGTTCAGAGACACAGTGAAACACGCTTCAGACATCCTCTCTCACACCATCTCGCCCATGGTGATGGATGCTAAGGCAGTGGCTGGGAACATACAGGATAAAGGTACAGGAGTACACTGTGCAAACACAAACAAGATACTGTAAGACCCAGCATGACACAGGTTTATTCACTCTCTTTATGTGTCAACCTGTCCTTCACAGCTCTGCAGAAGGCCTATTTGGACTCGTGTCTGAGGATCCTGGCTGCAGTTGGAAAAGTAAGAGAAGCCTTCCAACCTCAGGAGCCCGACTTCCCTCCTCCACCACCTGACCTGGACCAGCTCCATGTAAGCACATTCAAACAGACCTATTTCCTACTAATGAATGCATTAATACAGATGGGGGGAGTGAAAAAGTCATTTTTCATTAGCTGTGGTGTCAGTGAACTTGAACTCCAAACTACTCCAGTGGAGCTGCTCAGTTTCCTGCAGCATTATATATTATATAGTTATATTGGGCAGCCCTCAGGTGTAATTGTAAAAGTGAAGCTTACATAAAAGGTTCCTGTGCAACTATGGACTTATTGGTCTAATTCTTTGTCGATTCCCTTATTAAACCCACCTAGCCCCTGCTGTTAAGTTACTCTTTAAAGGTGCAATGTAAAGACTTTTTATGATTTTTTGATACAACCAGAAGGGCTTTAAATACGGTCTTATCTGAATATCTACCCCTCACACCCCCCTTTGTTCCTGAACAACATTTATATGTAACATATTTTTGTCTATGTGTGTTTTCTCCAGGTTAGTGATGAGCAGGCGCCACCCAAGCCCCCCTTGCCAGAGGGCGAGGTGCCCCCGCCTCGACCTCCTCCTCCAGAGGAGAAGGATGAGGAGTTCCCAGAGCAGAAGGCTGGAGAGGTGCTCAGCGAGCCCATGATGGTGGCCGCCAGGCAGCTGCACGATGAGGCACGCAAGTGGTCCAGCAAGGTCAGTTCACACGAACAAACAAAGACAAATATAGTTTGCATATTCACCCATTTAGGGAAAAATACCACCAGTTGTAGTGGTATCTCTGTGTCATGTTAGTAGACAAATGATCACAAAATTTTACTTTTTCTCTCTGTTGACCATGACATTATACACTTGTCCAATGATGAACATTTTCATATTCTGTGAATATCCTGAAATCAAGTCTTTCCTGAAATCACGTTGATTCTGAAATGTGGAGATCAGTGGCTCGATTCCAATTTCAGAGGGAAACTGGAAACTGTCATCTGTTCGAGGTGTCTGTATGTAAGGTTGTTATGGTTTACACATACACTCTTACATGCAGTAAATATAAGAAAAAGAGTTATCTGTGGAGAGACAATACAGCATCCCTTCTATAGTAGAAGAGAACAAGTTTGTATTCTTTGCACTGTTATTTTGTATTCATTTTGTGTCTATGATCTGTATTTGTGTGTCCAAGTATTTTTATGTGGAGGAACTGTGTGAGGGATCAATTATTTTGTGTAAATAACCATTGATTATCTAGGAATAATCCCCTCTCGCTCTCTTTGTGAAGCTCACGACCGTTCTCCCCTCTATAGCTCTCCTGGCAGTGTTCCACGCCTGTTTAATGATCTATGCATCACAGTTGTCTTTGGAAACCAGGCACAAAATATGTCTACTACACGGCACTGAGTCACACTCAGTTTCCCAGCACACTGCTAGACTCCTAAATACACTGTAAGGATACCAACCGCTGGTTTTTGTTGCAGTTAGACCTTTTTGATTGTGCACACGCTATACAAACTCAGCCACTGCCAGAGTCAGAGATAGGCCCATCATCCATCTGCTACCTGCCCAAACCAGCTCCTCTTTCCTCTTTTATTTCCCATCTTTGCTTGTGCGTGCAGTTTCACCTCCCTTCTACCCTGCTCCTTCACAGTGCTTGTATTCGCTCCTCCTCCCTCCTGTGAATCTCCTGTCCTCTGTTCTTCCATGCAGTGCCTCCCATACTGTACTAAATACCTCCTTTTCCCATGCTTCCTTCCCCCCTGCCATCCCTGGCTTTCCCCTTCTTCTCCACATTCCTCCTTTTTTTTCTCCTTCTCCTACCCTCTGCACCTCCCCTCCCGCCGACCCACTGACACACACCCAACACAGTCCCGCCCCAATCCTCACCCGCCCCACCCCTCCTCAGCCCTGCCCCGAACAAACAGCCTGAGGATGGAGGAGGCAGTAGAGGAGAGGAGAGAGGTAAGAGGATGCAAGATGAGCTTTATCCATGGTGGACGGATATATGAGCAGAACTGAGCATGAGTGCACCTTCCAACCAGCCTGTCATCAACCCATTCTGGCCACGCATGCCAGCTGCATCTACCAACCCACGACAAGGTGTCTGTCGCAATGGGTGCACGCAATGGTCGCATGCGCAGACGAGCACACTCACAACCAAGATGTCGAGGTAGTGAGTATATTGGTAAATAGGGTCCAGTGCTTCTAGACCACACACACACACAACACACAACACACACACACACACACACACACACACAAGCATGCAAACCACACAAGAGGAGCCCTGCTGGACAAAGAAACACCCTTTTGAGTACTAGCTGAGTCACTGTGGCTGCACAAAACGATGAGCTCTGCATCTGCCGCTACCATGGAAACCTCCAACCAGCTGTGGCTTTACTGTCGCTGCATCACACTCAGACATGGTTGACACACGGTTATGCTGAAGCCATGCTAAGGTTGTACTAAAGGTCGAGGATTGTTGGAATGGCAGGTTTGTTTGTTGCACCACATGGTTAAACTGGTATTGCTGGTATGGCTTCACACGTCCCTCCCTTATGTTCACGATTAGGTAAAGTGGTTTAAAGGAGGAGCAAGGCGCTCTGTCGTTCTGTTATCGCTGTTGTCAATCACTCGTTGTCTGGCCAACCTGTGAAGCCAAGGATGACAGTTTCCCAAAGACTTCTGGGTGATGTAGTTTTCACGTTAGACCGCCTGCTTGCCTGGTTTAATCACCCGCTTCTGCTTCTAAGTGTCAGGGTGTGTACTGATCACTCCAGCACTGAGAACATCACCTCATAGGTACTAACCTCAGGTTTACTGTGATGTGAGGGAGACGGTGACTGTTTCCCTCAAAAACTACAGATACATTTCTGAATTATCTTCTTCCACTTGTGCTAACTTGCACTGACACTGCATGCAGCTTTCTCCTTTTAAATTTAGTGCCTTTTTTTTGCTTTTGTAACTCAAATTCATTCATTCAAGTAACTTTCATCTAGTGTTTCATAACACTGTTTCCATTATCCTACATTTTGATTATTATCAGAAAAAACATGTGGAAACATTACTCAACATGTTTCCATTGCATCTTCATCTCAACATCCACTTCCACATCCATGCTCCTCTCCAGTATCCTGCTCACAGCTCTCACTGCTTCCTCCTCCACCGCCTCCCTCCTCTTCACAGGGTAACGACATCATTGCAGCAGCCAAGCGGATGGCTCTGCTAATGGCAGAAATGTCCAGGCTGGTGCGTGGTGGAAGCGGGAACAAACGAGCGCTGATTCAATGCGCAAAGGACATCGCCAAGGCCTCGGATGAGGTGACGAGACTGGCCAAAGAAGTGGCCAAGCAGTGCACTGACAGACGCATCAGAACTAATCTGCTACAGGTAAAGAAACAAACTCATACAGGCACAAAATAAGAGTGAAAAGTCCTAGATGGGTTTAAATAATTCACATATTTTTCTTCATCCAAAGGTGTGTGAACGAATCCCCACCATCAGTACTCAGCTGAAGATCCTCTCTACTGTCAAAGCCACCATGCTGGGACGAACAAACATTAGTGAAGAGGAGTCAGAACAGGTAAACTCACATAACTGCACATAACTTGCATTCAATTAATGTAGTGAAGTAAAAAAGTCCAGTATTTCCCTCTGAATTGTAGTATTTGAGTGAACATAGAAATACTCACATCAAGTACAAGTAGCTCAAAATAGTCTGTAGGCAGGGTTGGGAGGGTTACTTTAAAAATGTAATCTAATATGATTAAAAAATTTAATGTAGTCAGTAACTTAATCCAAGTATCACAATATTAAAGTAACTGAACACCAAATATGCAAGAAAAAATGAGATGAATTTTACGTATTCTAGATAACAGAACAATATTACAAATCAAGAGTTTTAGCATCAACAATGTGTCCTCTGCTCAGTGTATTTTTTTTTTTTTGAGAAAAAAGTAGCCACCAATGGAAGGCAGAAGGCACACAGTACTGTGATGTTGTTTCCCTTTCTGCTTCAAAGACAAAATAAATGTGACATTTCCACCTGGTGAAAGCCTTTTTTCCCACTAGAGCTCATGATCATGAATTGAACTGTAAGATTAGCTATGGTTTCACTCAAAAACCAGAGTGGTGTTGTAAATCCCAAACGTATATGTAGGTATAGTACTTCAGCAAATGTACTTACTCTGTGTCTACTTCCATCAGACTCATTAATGCCTGAGCCAGTTTGGGCGTTTGACCCAACTTATTATTTATTTATGGACATTCTTAGGCACAGTTATCCTTACTGGTGGCATTTTAAACATTTGAAAACATTTTAAACCGCATTTGTTTGTAGTCTGTTCAGTTATGTATTGTGTATGCACTGATGCCTTTACACAAATTAGGTTACTAACTATTTTGATTTTGATTGATCGATTGAAACATTCCACCTCTGATAACTTGTCTTCCTTTTGTTCCATCTCTGTTATTACTTCACCCCTAACTGCTTTTTTTCCCTGAACCAGGCCACAGAGATGTTGGTCCATAACGCCCAGAATCTGATGCAGTCGGTGAAGGAGACAGTCAGAGAAGCAGAAGCAGCCTCCATCAAGATCCGCACAGATGCCGGATTCACCCTTCGCTGGGTGCGCAAGACCCCCTGGTACCAATAAACAAACCCAGTCACCGAAAACTAGTAACACTCTTGACTTGGCACCGATAGCACACGCCGCGAGTAAAAGTAGCAGCGTGCATACTCATCGTGAGTAAACGTGTGCACTTCCTCAAGGAGCAAACTGCAGGTGATTTCAATCCATCCTCCGCTGTAGTTTGGGTGTGTCTACCAAGGAAGCATTAGATAAGCAGGTTTCATTTATCAGACTGAGTTCAGCTTTGCTCTCCAGTTCCCTTTATCTGTATCTGTGGAATCACGCAGGCTAATCGGAGACAGTTTTCAATATATATTTTTGGTATGTTGTGTTACAAGAGTTTATCCAAATCCCAGGTATATATTTTTTGCATGGAAATATTTTCTATTTTCTAAAGGTAAATGACGACAATAATATACTTATCTCGTAGAAGACATTTACTTTTAATTCAGTTTCTTATTGTCTATTGTATATATAGTAATTATTTGTTTTATGGACAACACTCAGCAATGAGCTTTATACACCAAGTTTGACACTAAATTATGGAGTCTTGTGTGGGCTGACGAGCTCTCCTCTCTTCATGTTTACTTTTAGTAATAACGCTGTTCTTAACTGAAGATCTATGAATTCACAGGTGATTCATCGATACTTGAAGAACTGAAAGGTCTTCTGGATTAAAAGCGTTAAGACTTATAGGCGAATGATACACTTTTAAAAGTGATTGTATAATTTAAAAAAAAATGTATGGTTGTCAATAAAGTTTTTTTTGTAGATTGCAGGAGGGCTTAATAGAGGTTTTCACTCGACTGTTGGCAGTAAGAGCGACAGTACGGTAAAACTAGCTGATGTGTTTTTAACGTGTGTTTTGAGTTCTTTGTTTGAACTTTATTTACCTTTCACAGTGAACAATGCCAAAGGATTTGTTTTACATTACTGTAAGCTACATAAAGTTTTTTCTTTTTTTAAGCACTTAAAATTCAGGTTACAACAAGACAGATGTTTTTTCTTTAGAGACCCGGAAATACTTTTTAAGGTCTTATTTTATTGAGCAAAAAAAGAGAGAAAGTTTTCTCCTCTTTGCTTTTTTTTCTTGCTTTCTTTTTTTTTTTTTTACTAATCGTGGTGCTTTGTTTCTGCACTATCTCTGTAACAGTTGAACTGTTTGGATTTTTCTTTTCAAAATTGATCAAAACAATGACTTTTAGACAGCCATTCAACATCCTGTTTTCATTCTCCATGTGTGAGCTCAGTGGTCCCACTCTGAATGCTCGGACACATCATTTTAACTCAGATTTTCTATACGACCCCGGTGGTTTGAGAACTAAAACAACCTTTTTATGTGATATCAGGCATTGATGCCAGTCTGGCAGGAATAGTTTTTTAGGTTTAAATAAATAAATAAAAAGTTTATGGACTATTGTGTTTACGGAGGAGTGTTTTTGTCTGGAATAACTACACAGCAGTTTAAGGAATCATGATTGGTAACTCAATATCACTCGTAATCAGATCAGTGAATGCACATTTTCATTCCCTAAACAGTATTTTATCAACTTTTACTACGTATTTTTACAATGGCTGGGCAAATTTAACTGTTAAATGGAGTATGTGTGTGTGTATGTGTGAAGCTTCTTCACTTGAACAGTATTAGTGAGCCGTTCCCATGATGGTTAGAGGAAAGAGCTCTAAACAGCAACACAGAACGTTAACTGCATTTTCATCTTTATTTGGGCCTACTGAGCATGTAGCAGCCACTGACCCCTCACTGAGAGTCACAGGGTGTACTTCTGTGTGTACTTGATGTGTTCATTCACACCCTGAATGTATTCTGATAGCTTCTAGCCCTGCCAACACATCTGCTGTGCCTTGGAAGAATAAAAGACTATAATGATGACTGGATTCGGCCTCTTAATTTGCCTTCCTAACGTCATTGGTGCCATAATTATATAATGAGTGTTGTCTTGTGGTGGAACGAGACTTGTCTTCAGCCATGTAAAGGGATGCTTTCAGCTAAATGCTGCTAACATCATTATGCTAAAAGGGCTTGCAATGACAATGCAATGTTTATCGTGTTTATCATCTTAATTGAATGTGTTAGCATGCTAGCATTAAATGAGCATTGAACACATTGTAAAGCTAAAGCTTATGAGAATGTAATTTAATAAACCAACCCACTGGACAAACTAAAAGGACAAGTGTGTAGGATTTAGTGGCATCTAATGGTGACGTTGCAGATTGTAAATGACTGAACACTGCTCGCGTCTGTATTTGATACTCTGGGAATGAGAATGGGCCGTGAACCTTGCAAAAACTTGCAAAAGGTCCTTTTTTACAGCTAGTGTTTGGTTTGTCTGTTCTAGGCTACTGTAGAAACAAGGCGGTTCAACATAGCAGGACTCTATGAAAGGCGACCCACGGTGTCTGTAGATATAAACAGCTCAATCTAAGGTAACAAGAACGTAATAATTCCTATATTCAGGTGATTGTACACTAATAAAAACATATCTATGTATATTATATTCCCTTTCTGCCAGCACATCCTCATAAATGATACACGCTGGATCTTTTAATTTTGACCTGCTTTGGTGTTGCACATTTTAAAGAGAGCACCAGTGATAGACCTACCAACTGACAGGCTAACAGTGCCGTAAAAAAAAAAACCACACAGCAAGACACAATTTTAAGGCTTTTTATAAGACATCTTATACACTGAAATGCTGATTCAACTTCATACAAGAGCTTTAAGTAGTACTTTTCACATGGACAGTTGATTGTGCAAATCTTGTGCTGAGTAAAGAAGTTGCATTCAAGATTATGTGAGGATCTTGTAGATTTCTGAGTGCTTTTTACAGTTCCTAACACTGAATCACTTGCTTGTCTCTTGGCCTTGCGGGGAGTTGTGCACCCTCCCTTGGGCAAACTATATACCTTAGATAAGATATATTTTCAAGATGTACTTACCTCAGATCTCCAGTTTGTGCTGTAGTGTGCTGTACAAAGCACCTTAACCTACCCTTAACAAGGCCACATTAAAGAGTGAATGTGTGCAAAAATATTTGCACTTAAGACAGCTACTCAGAAATGGATACATTAGATTTTTCAAAAATAAACAAATATATATATATATAAGTATAAAACTTAATACTTTATCTATATGTAAAAGGGTTTTCAAAGGCATGGCTGCATACTTTCAGGCAACATGCAAGTAGGATTGTACAGGCGTGTTGAAGTAGTGAGGAGCAAGGTGGTGAGCTGCGAGTGTCCCTTTTCAAACCAAAATATTCCCCCTTAGGTAACACTCAGAAGGTGTTAGACAAAAAAAAAAAGAAACAGGAATGGTCCATACAAGGCAGCACATCTAAACTGGATAGAAACTAATAGCACTTCAACTAGGTCACATTGATTATTAAGGCTTCCCTTTACAGGCCACAAACACTATCCAGTCGTATATATGTAATGCCAAACACATAATAAATAACTGTTAGAATGCAAAATCGTTCATTAATAACAATGAGGATATGTAAGATTTATTGGAGAGCTGACTCAGCGGGGTGGTAACCTTTCCCACCTATTTGGCACATTCGATTGTTGACCGTCATCACTCAGGTCCGCACTTGGAATTTCCCAGCTTTGGTCAAATATTTGACCCCTTTAAACGGCTTGTACTTCTCTCCGTACATGTCAAGACGACTCACCTTAAGACCTGCGCAGAGGGGGGAGAGGAGCAAAGTGAGCAATCCACTACCATCAAATGTGACAATTTCAAACTGAACACCATCACAACACACACAGCGTTACCGCTACCAGAACCAATATTGTTCTTGACAACAACAGGAAGAAAGAAAGACTAAAAGTTATGACTAGTTACATTTTTGGACTTTAAATTTGGCTCAGTTAAAAGATTAAGACGTCATGATGTAGCGAGGATTACCTGATATGGCCAGCTGCTGTATCTTCAGGTCAATGTTGAGTGAGGGGTTATCTTCAGGTTTGGGGACTCCCGCCTGCGTACTCAGACTGCCTCGCAGGTTAGGAAGCTTCTGGGGGTTCAGTTTGCCAATGTCCCAAACCAGCACCTACCGAAACATAAGAAAGTCATTGAGTAAGGACGATAAAACAGAACGCTTTCTATTTTTAGCTGATTAAAAATAAAGGACGTGGAAGGTCTTCTGGCCTTTGTATTACTGCTTAGGACATCCTTGTAAACAGTTGGTTACCTTGGTAGCGAGGTCGTAGGTGTAGGTTCCCTGTGTGGCGGTGAGGTTGGCATTGAGCACAGCTTTAGGCATGTGGATAGTGACCATCATGTTCTCCACCGTCTTTCCCATGGTCTGTTTGGGTCCGATGGTGATGTCCAGGCGACCACAAGGCCCCGTCTCAAAGAAACTGATGCTCTGCTTCACGTACACTGGAATGGCCACGAGACTGCGGAAGGAGACAGACATAATGGATGACAATAAACAGTCAGCAAACCAGACAGCAACCAGCTTGTGTTCATGAGTTAACAAGATAACAAGTGCGGATTGTGAATGCTGAAATTAAACCAGAATTTCCTCCACTCCTCCACACTGAAACCCAAAGAAAATAACAGGACAAAGGTTTTATTGTTGCTGGAGGATTTTGTTTACCAGATCTACATTATGTACACGACACCAACATCATCTAGATTCGTCATACCGGCTGATTATTCACACATAAACTCATAGATTTCATTAAAAGATGTTTAAAAATCTTGCTCAGGACTACACCGAACACTGTGGTGTAAAGAATAAAGTTTCTTTAAATTATAAATAAGACATACGTCTGTGCCTGTGCTTACTTTTGAGAGCTGACATGATAGTTCATGAGTGTGAAGTTTCCGTCTGGCGGGATGAAAGAGAGGACACGCTCCGACTCCCAGCGCTTAAACCGCACACATGGGTGGAAACTCACGTCATCGAGGAGTCGAGGATTCTGTCATCAAAGACGACAACGTTGGCGGGTGAATTTTACACTCAGAAAGACGCACAAGCAGATCATAAAAACACAGAGGAGCTAAGAGGAAATTAACTAACCATAAAGGACAGAGTGAGGTCAGGCATCCCAGTGAGCCTCACACAGGCTTCAATTACACCCTGGATCTCTGCAAATACTGTCGTACCTGAACAAGAAAGATTGAGGAGATGCAAGTATGTTTAAAGACGAACCGAATCCAATCACATAAACCAGGAAAAACTGCTGTGGATGCACTGTTCATTTATTGTGATCAAACAAGATGTCGTCTGTACCTGATTTGTCCAGAATTGCATCTATTTCCTCAATCACATCAAAATATGCCTCATTATTGGTGTATTTAACACCTGCCCGCCTCCATGGGACATTGGACAATTGACCTGTTGGCAACGTGTCTCCAACATTACTACCTCCTGGAAAACACACAGAACAAAGGCGAAAAACAGAAATGCGGACTTAAACATTACACATTTTAATTTGAAATTTAGTTTAGAGATAAGTAGACAGCAGGTGGTGCAGCTCAGAGTCAGGGTGACTTTCTGTTTACCTGTGAGCGTATTGACAACCGACCGCAGGATGGTGGGAGGCCTGATCATCTCTTTGAGGACGTTGGACTCTGTTGCGAGTGGAAAGCCGTTGTCCAGCATCTCCTCCAACAGCTCGTACACGGTCACCATGTTTTCCTTGATTACGCCTTCTGAGCACTCTCCGAAGTAGTCCTGTCGACAAAAAAAATCCACATTTGATGATTTTTCTGTTGTGTTAAAAAGCACCTTTAGTGTTTTCCACCTTAGCTGTGTCCCACTTCCATAATACATACTAACTATATAAAGTATTTGTAATATGCATTATTTAGTACATTGTTTCCGCAGTGAGTATACAACAAATCTACAAACTTTACTGTTGTACTAAAAGGAAATTATGCAATATCACAGATGTCAAACTGCAACTTTGGACAGCCACTTTAACTAAACCCAGTAAACCTACTTAATACAACTTAATACAACTTAATTAGTACCTCATTTTCCACCGTGAACACACTACAAACTAAAAACCTGCTTAAAATTACTATGTAATATGGAATTAATGCCACAGCTCCTGTTCACACTCGACACTAAAATGCATCTTGGGTAATTTAAAACATAAACTGCACCATAAAAACATGATAGATAACCTGCAGCTACTTTGTTTAACCAAGATATACTGAGGTCACGCTGGGATCCGCTCCCACATTTGGACTGCGTCAAACTCTGTAGTCTGTATAACACATCAAACCTTCCAAATAGTCAGATACAGCTAAAAAAAAAAGGTTTTAAAGTTCTCAAGCTACGAAATAAATGTGGCATTTTCCCCTCTAGCTGTAACGTCAAGAACAAGTGTGTATTTTCTTTGTCTTCAACACTTCAATTTCCTGTAACATCAGTTCAGGGAAGTGAAGTGAAATATGATCACTTGAGATGCAATCTGAAGTCCGATGTGAATGCCGTCCATATTGTCCTTTTGTCCTTTTTGTTTTTTTGTGTTTGTCTATATAGTGTGTTAACTGTTACGATGAGTTGTGTCAGTGTATTGTGATGCGAGTCTGTATATTTGTATAGTATTGTCACCATATAAACTGTTACCCATGGGGAGCTTAATAAACAAACAAACAAAAAGTGAAACCTAAGAACAGAATAGTAATTCTTATACATGATCTCATTAGACTAATCTCCAGGGACCTCTCAAGGGCCCGCGGGGGTCCACAGACACCAGGTTGAGAACCGAAGACTTATAAAACCTGGCATCTTCACACCTGAATCGTGTCTGCCACCCTGTGCAGGAACTCGATGACAAACAGCGGAGCTACTTCAGTCTGGATGACGGAGAGGAAGAAGAGCTTGCCCCTGTATATGGAGATGAGATAGTGGTGTGGGGTCTGCAGGACAGGGGCCACATTTTCTGGCTCCACCGCTTTCTCCCTCGCCTCGAAAAAGTAATCACACACACTCCGGCTGATGACACTCTTCCAGTGTTTCTCCAGGAAGATGTCTCCAGAGTGATTGATCAGGAACAGACTGTGGATCATCTCAGCTGCAACAATGAGATGGTTGTTAAAGTTTCTTATTCAGACAGATCAAAGCAGCTGTTTGTTTTTTTTAACAACTTAAACCCTCTTTAATTGTTTAATTGAGCCCAAAGAGATAGATAGATAGATAAAGCAATGCAACATGTAAAAGCAGGATCACTAATTGTCAACATCTGCCATCTGTCAAACTTCAATCAGGTGAATTAACCGACTGGCTAACAACGTGAAAATGTCAACTCCAGACCTTTCTACCATCTGCAAATAAAAAAATAAACAAAACTTTTAACAGCGACATAAAAACTCTAAACAGAAGATAACCTCTACTAAAAAGTTTCCATAAGATTGTTGAAAGTTTTACCTGCTAACTCCAGTTGATTGTGCCAACAAATTATCTGGTGCCAATATGGCAGAAGTGTCCGCCGAGGAGACGCCTGCAGATGTTTGCACACGTAAACACAACGAGGTCACCAATATGTGTCGATACATGAAGAGAACGAGGCCTAAATGGTATTATTAACGTGTTGGAATATATTCTGGACGGTTTAAATATCCAGTAACTCTCATATCAACCTAGTCGATACTTTTAGAGAAAAGTTTCGGGCTTTTTATTCAGGCAACCTTTGTGGGCAGCTGTTCCCCGGCCTGTGTGAGTGCTGCCCTGAGTGTTGACTTTCAGGAGGCACTGCTGCCCTGAGTGTTGACTTTCAGGAGGCAGGCGACTACAAATGTTACTTGGCTGCTACTTTTTGGGTCTACACCATTAAACCTCAAGTCAGTTTTTTTAGATGCAAGTAGCTGTGATAATTTTATGATATATTAACCACAATATTTTATTTTAATTAGGAAATAAGTTAATATAATGCACAGGACCTCTACCTGTATTTGCACATCCATTTGCACTGTTTACTGTTTGCAATGTTTACTGTAGCTACTGTTAATTTTATACTGTTAATTTTATATATTATATACATACATAATACTTTAATATTTTATCTTTTAATCTTATTTTTGATTTGTTCTTAAGGTCAGGGTTTTTAATTTTATTTAATGTATGTTTGTATTTTGTATCCTACTGGATGCTTGAATTTCCCTCGGGATAAATAAAGTATCTATCTATCTTATCCTATCTATCTATCTATCTATTATTAACTATCATCTATACTCCCACTGACATTGACTCTTACAGCCATCACCCAACTTTAATCTATGTGTTAAATAAATCCATAATTTAAAGAAACTGTTACCTGTACAGCTCCTTATATAAAGAAGGGTCGTATTGTTCATATTGTCTGTTTATATTTGTACTAAATGTCTCTTTTTATTGTCTTTATTTCATCTTTATTCATATTTTCCTCATATTATTTTTATTGTTATACACTGAGGCAAATTTCTTGTATAGAAAAAACCAACTTGGCAATAAAACCAGTTCTGATTCTGACATATTTTACTGGTAAAGTACTGCACTGACAATCTTAACCACCAGAGAGATGTGCTTAAATGTACAAAATAAAATTTTACTTACTTACATAAGTAGGGCAAAGAAGACAGTGTACAGTCTTTGGACAACCCATATGTATGTGCTCTGGTTTAGTCTCCACCAACTCCTGAGGATAATATTTGTCTCTTATATTTCTAAATGTGCCATTAAGATAAGTTTAACTTGTCTTTTTTCCTGTAGAGTGCTCCTGTTTTTTATATGAGGTCATAATTAAACTTAATGTTAATCTTAATGTTGTATGGCACACAAAAAAGGTTGCAGACACCTGCTCTATATAGTCAGGTGAAAACAAACCTTTAACAGAAAAACTGCAAAACTATTATTTACACAAAATGTCATTCATCATATTGATAGTAAAAATTCACTAAACTACTAGACTCCCAGAAATGTATATTACGTAGTCCGGCCCACACTTTTGTATAAGGTTTTCTTTAACATTTTATCATTATTTACTTATCGTTTATCCATTTTACCTCTTAATTTAAATTAATAATTATATTTTCTAAGTATTTTGGGAAGTCATGTTGTAATGATGTTAGTTCTAAAGATGAACTTTTGCATTAAATTAAGGCAGAAAAAAGGGTAAAACTTCCATACAGTCGTCATTTGACCTATACTAAAAAATATTGATTAGTGCAGCTTTAAATCTTTATAAATTAATGTTATAAGTTTGCTCATGAAAAGTGGGCTGTTACGTTTATTCCAGGCCCATAAAACTTCACCTGTACCTGCTCTACAGGTGGAAATGGGAGACATGCCATTAGATTTGAGAAGAATGCAACTGATTGCAAACTACTGGGCTAATTTAAAGGGTCACAATGATTTTCATCCATCAAAAGGAGAGTGAGAGGAGTGAGAGGGAGTAACAAAGGGGAGGATAAACCCGTCAGTAGTTTATCCGGTGGTCGCTTCAGGAATCCTTGTGTGGCCAAATGTAGACTGGTATTTGTTAGAAGCTAAAAAGGAAAAGACAGGTTTATACATATTGGGGCTAAGAGACAGGAGTGACAGGAATTTGTAGTTTATAGGAAGAACAGAAGAAACATTGAATTAATTAGGGGTTTATACGGTGGAGATGGTGTCAGTTAAAATGGATAGAAAAAAAGAGACAAAGTGGTTTTAATTTGTTCATATTCATCCTCAATATAGTTTTAGATAATTCCATTCAAACAGCTGCCAGGATATATCAAGATATATTATAATTAATTATTAAAATAACCAACCAGGGAGGTCAGGTGACATGAGAGTGGATGAAATGGCAAAAAGGACATTTAAGGAAGGAACATTTGAAATGTAAGTTACTATCAGCAAAGCAGAAGTTAAACAAAACCAACAAAATGTGGAAAAAACAAAAGATGGGACAGAAAGGCATCTTTTTATAAAATCCAAAAGAGTGTTAAATAAACTAGGAAAAGCACCTGGAACAGGAGAGAGGAAATAGTAATGTTGAGGTTAAGATTGGGCCACTGTGCACTAAAATAAAACACTGAATATAGTCTGTAACCACTTTATCCAATCGCTCCTCATCACTTATTTGGTTTGTTTCCATTTATGCTGCTAAATTGCACGGTGCGTGTTGTTGTATATTGTATATACCTATGTTTAACTGCAAATTGTTGCATTTTGTTTTGCATTTGAGTTAATTGTTTTTTGATTTATTTAGTTAGCCTTTATTTTATTTTACTTTATTTATTTTATTTTTATTTTTTTTTATGTTAGCTTATTTTTACTCTAACCCTGTATTACTTTCCACCTTTGTATTGCAAACTGTTGCACAGTAAATTTCCTCGGGAAATATAAAGCTTCTTGAATCTGAATCTTAAATAAACATCAGACAGGGTTGTGTGAGGGATGTCAGGAAGAGGAGTTTATAGAGGCTATATTATTGTTTAATGGATACATTACGAGGAGTTTTATATAGGATGTGATAAATAAACAAGAATATGTGAGATAAAGCACAGACGAAATAGATTATGTATGTTTTTTTATAGGGATTTTAGTTTATAAATCTATTTCCGGGCTCACTCTCCGGAGCAGGAGGGGGCGATAATGCACCAGTGAGCTCGGAGGAAAACAACCATAAATAAAGAGGACGAGGCAGAAGCAGATCGACCGCGTTTTCACACCGGTTAAGGGGATTGATTGCAGCGTGCACCGGGCAGCAGACATGGCTTCAGACGAACCTAAAGCAAAGAGACAAAGACTGTCGGAGGAGAAGAAGAAGGAGAAGGAGGAAGAGAAGGAGGAGGAGAAGGAGGAGGAGAAGGAGAAGGAGAGGAAGACTCCGACCAAGAAGACTCCTGCTAAACTAAGGTGACCTAAATAAACAAAAAGCTAAGAAAACACAGACACACGACTCCTCTGAGTTACTTAAAATGTGCGCAAAACGTGCACCGTGTAAACACCATTACATGTGTGAGAGGAGGTGTAAAGTGGCTCTTTTTGAGGTGCTTTACTCGGTAACACGCAGCTAAATGGTTTTCTTTTTTGTTGGCTGATTGTAACGTTAGTGCCTCTGCTGCTGTCAGATAACGCGGGTTAACTTTTTAGCATGCTTTTCCTGCTCGGTGGGGCCGTGCCAATGTCTAATCTTAAGTTCAACGTGACCACCACCACCACCACCACCTGCCCCTGCATGTTTTAAAAGCTGCAGAAATAAATAGTTGGACTGATCTGTGCATGGTTGCTCTGCTGCTTGGTGTGTAGCAGAGGTTGCTGCAGAGAGAGGGAGACAGACAGAGAGAGAGAGAGAGAGAGAGAGGGATAGAGAGAGAGGGATAATATCAGTAATATTAGCAGTGGGAGTCAAGTG